CTCGTCGACGACGTGTACCGGCTGGTCAAGACCTGCGAGGAGAACCTGCTGGTGGACAAGAGGAACGACATCGAGGCGGCCTGGCAGGAGGAGAGCCACCTCAACAAGTACCTGATCCGCCACAAGCCCACCAAGCTGCTCTCCCCCGAGTACATCTGGGACGACAAAAGGCAGCAAGTGAACGAGATCAAGGTCATCCGCTTCTCGACACTTTATAAAAACCTTGCAGAAGTGCGGGATAACTAGACCCCACTAAGATAAGTCTTCATTTTACCGCAGAGTGGTCTGGATTCGCCTGGTGTGCGTTATAACGCCTAATCATTCTCGCGTGCGAAGTGTGATGGTAACAGTGCGGGCAGTCAAGTGAGTCTTTATGAGTGAATACAAACTCATCCTGGGCCTTGGTCTTCGCCTTCCCCAGAAAGGTATCCCTCAATGAGATCGAAACACCTTCCGTCTCGTTATCGTAAATTGATTGCTTGAGGACAAAACCTTGAGAAGAGAAGCACAAACTGTCCACTCAAAAGATACTCACAATTTATTGCCATCGTGCCGCTGGAAAAAAAGCTGGTCTCATTTCTCCACTCACAGAAGAGCGTAAAACATATAGTATTAAAAATACCGGACACCTTCTGTTGATTTTTTTTTCTTGCTTTAATAGTCAATCCTCAATCGTTGTGAGGGGGCATTTCTTTCACTTTTTGATAAGATTTCCCGCTGACCAAGGTGGCCGACAGGTGAGGCCAGTCACAGGTTTGCGGATCAGCAATCGCTGGAGCAGGGATCGGCTGCGCACCCTGTTCCAGGCTAGAGAAGCAGAGCACTGAACCAGGAAGTGACGAGTTAATAAAAGGAGGATGGATGTTGTGCGAGAGTCAGCGAGAGCCAGAAAGAGAGAAAATGAGTCTCATCTAAAAGTTTGCGCTGGCGCTGGAGCTACTGCGCAGTGATGGAAACTGCTGAAACAATGAGGAAAACCATTAGGTTGGGATGTGCTAAAAGCCACCGCACGGAGTAAGGAATCTCTGTGCTATCACAGAAGACGTATGATTATAAGGGAGTTAAGTTCTAGCTTCAGTGCCTTCTAGTAGCCCCAAGAAGGGGCTGATTTTGTTTGCTTTATGATTTTGTTTGAGGCCGGCGACCTTTGTAAATAGACCGCACTTATAAATAAATTACCCAGAAACCTTCAGACTCGTGTGGGGTTGTCTGTGATCAGGGACTCGCCTTAATGTCTTGTACCCATCCCACGCACCATCGTGGGGATTGTGGGTAAATTCTGGAACCAATGTAATTGTTGCTGATACTGAACATGTTGTTGTGATCAGCTCCTCAAATGACATTAAATGACAATAATTGTTAGTCTTCAGTGGCTTTTTGTTAAAGTAGCCCACCAATCTAGATGTTGCTAATTTTGTCGTGTCCGTACACCATGACAATGTCTGGACCTATGTGCTCCTCATAGGCTTTCCTGGGATTTCTGATCTGAGTCATTGAGGCCCACATACCTGTTTCTGTTTCTAGCCAAG